AGAATGGGGGGCCATTCATTAACGCATTGGTGCCTCTGAATCCGACGGTCACTGGCATGGCTACAACCTCTCACATTAGTCGTGGTTCCTTGCGCTGGGACAACAGGCGTCCAGGGTCACGCGCATGCCTGGCATTCCTCCACCGCTAGTACTGACAGCAACGGCACACAGCGCCCAGGAAAACAGCGCTACACAAGCATTTTGTAGAAACACATAACAGATGCAAAAAAATGGCCTCCAGCAACCGGGGAATGGGGCGAGAGCACAGAGCAGATAAAAGCACAAAACATCGACTGATGGCAGTCTCTGTGGAGTTTTACACCATCAGCATCAAGATAAAAAAAACATCAGAACAGATCTGTTGAACCCCACAGAAAAGAGGAAGCAGATGAGAAATCCCATGACTATTGCTTGGAGGAAAAATCCCATGACTATTGCCGTCCTGACGAACGTCCTCGTCACTGCTGCAGACGACACGGTACTGGGCCTACAGAACACTTTCATAAAATGCCATCAGTCAATTTCCAGTCTAACACCATCTGAGAATTCCTGCAACTCGCTGTAATCTTGCTTAGAGGGGAAAACAGACAAATTAAAAGTGCATGGGAATGCGTGTACAAAGACTGAACCACGGGCTGGGTTTATGTGAATGTGCTGTGGTTGGGCTCAGCTGGCCCACACAGCAGCACACAGTGAAGCTCATCAGTACCGCGGTTCTGAGTCTCATTCTAGACAATAGAACACATAACCCTGCTTTTGTTCTGTTTACCTGATCACAGCAACAATTAACAGGTTTCTGAACAACACTGGTTGTGAACCACATGACGCATTTAGCAGCCAGCTGAGGTTACACAACTCAACCGGTCTGTGGCAACACAATACAGTTTGTCTCACAGAGAACCCGGTCTGTTGTTCATCCTGCTGATCTGACATTTTATCCTTATATGTCTGGTTTTACTGACTAACTAACCGTAAAACACAGCAGCAACATCGAAAAGTCCCTTCGGTAGGGTTGCACTGTCTGTTGTTACGACACTGTGATGTGCACAACAGTCACACTACAGGAAGTGCAATGTGAACATCAGCTTTTTTTGCTGCTTAACACAAAAAGAAAACTCTCATCACTCTAGCGCTCCGTGACTTATCTACGGAGAAATCAGTCTCTTCTCTAACTTTTGTTTTTGAAAGGAATGTGTTGATAAATGAAATATAATGAGTGACTATTCTGTAGCATAGACAATGCAGGATCAGAGGGCTGTACCACAAAGTCACATCATTAGCTTAGCAAGCCATGCTGAGCTTCAGTGTCACCAGGGCGGCTCCCTTTAACCAGCTGGACTGCCATGTTCACTGATGCTGTGGCGCTGACCCGGTCCAAAGGAGTTCATGTTCAGAGTGTGGACTTACATCAGCTCTAAGAAGAGTCTGTCTTTAGTGAAATTCTTCACTGATGATATTCTCAGCTCGTGTTGCTGACGTGTATTGTGCTGATGGTGCAGGAATGTGTTTGTACATTTGGCCCCATTTTGGTGCCAGGCCCGTTTACACTGCTGGTACTGCCGCTAATAGAAGGCGGATTAGAAAACATGTTTATTCAAGTAGAAATGGGAATAAGCGACTGCACTGATCGATGAAATCAATACATTAACACACGAACAACAGTTTTCTACCAGCATTCCTGTCTTGCATTATGTGCAGCAGCAGTGTTTAAATGTTAAATGTTTAAATTCCTCATTGTTCTGGGCGCCGCTATAGCTCAGCTGGTTGAGCTGGCGACCCAAGTACAGGGGCTCTAGTCCCCCATGCAGCGGCCATGGGTTCAAATCCCGCTCATGGCCCTTTGCTGCAACCTCTTCCCCCACTTTCCTGTCTTTCTCTTGGCTGTCCTGACTAATAAAGGCCAAAAGGCCAAAAAAATACCTTAAAAAAAATCCTCATGTTGTCCATTCTAACAACCTGCTGACTGAAGCACCATCGATCCATGTTGTGTGGAAGAAGAGTCACATGAGCGTAACCTCTGATGTAAACACGCTGAGTCTGAAGAATAAAGGTTGGTTGACAAGCTGATAACCGCCAGCCTTAGCCAGCGTTCCCCCAACACAAAGGGATCCAAAGACAGAGAAAACACAGATGTGATAGCATTTCACTAAAAAATAAAATAAAATGAAGCATGACACCAATGAACAGAGTTCCCAAAGACGGGTTTCAAACATGACGCTGGCGAGCAGTGTAACACCATCACAAACTTCCTGGAGCTGTACGGAAAACGCAAGACACCACTTAAAAAAGAACCGCTGTGATGAAACATTACGGTGGTCCAGACAGAAAACAGAGCCGTGTACAAGGCGTGCAGTTCTCTGTAGGAATGAGGACTTTCCACTGAAACCTGACTGTGTTCCAGCTGCTATAGGGGCTGATGGGAGACATCAGGTCTGTACAACAACAACGTGGTGCACACACTGAACAAGTGGACCAGGCTGCACTGCTTTGGCCACAGAGAGCCTCTAAAAAATAGAAATAATTATAGATAGAGAGATAGAGCAGACTTTCCCCCAATACCCTGCAGCCCTACACTTCAGAGGATGATCTATTATCAGCTGAGCTGCCTCACAGTAATAATATAATGTTGACACTCCCAACACAGAACCGTGATCAGAATCTGGAGACGAGCACTAAACACTTAAACAGAGGTGCTTCTTGGAGTTAAAACTAGATTAACAGCAATAGCACTAATAGCAGCTCTCACACCAAACAGAGAAGATCAAATAAATGTAAACAGTCTCATCGTACATGTTCTGGCATCGGCCAGCTAATTCCCTGCAGCATCTCCTGTTCGTTAACTGCATTTAAACATCCTCCTACATACATAATCTATACTGTGGTGGGAATCACGACAGAATATAATGCCAGTCCACATTTTAAGACATTTCAGAAATCCCATTAGCAGGAGCAATCTGAAATGAGATAGCATCCTAAACCACGTCCTCCGCTATCAGGGACGGCGTGGATTGATTTAAAGTGTCCCTCGACAGCTGACTGCATTTGATCCAGAGTGCTGAGACAACAAGCATCCTTCACATCTGAAGCTAAATGTGGCCCACCTACTTACTATGTCTGAAGGGGGGCTGGGGGAGAAGCACAGGACTAAGACCAGACGTAGAAACGAAAGGTTGGAGGGCTGATGGAGTGACAGACCAGGAGGGCTGTTAGGATGGAAGATGGCTGAGGAGAGTCACAGTGACACCACCTAATTCATCCCGGTGTGTGTGTGGATGCAGCTGAACGGAGTGTGTGAGCTGCAGGGGTGTGGTGCTGAGCAGCAACACGTAAAGGTATCAGCAGAGGTGCTTCCACCGCATCCACCTCATACCTGTGTGTGTGAATGTGTAAATCTAACACACAGCCCGGGTATTCACATGATTCCTTCCCTCCTCTCTGGGGGAGAGATTTCTCTGCATCTAAAACACTGGATTCCTTTCTGATGTAAATGCCGCCGCTCCGAGCGTGGACCCACGCCATGACAATCCTATTGCTGGACAAAGGAAGCGGAATTCCCTCCCTTCTTGTGTGTCCCTGAGCCAACATATCAATTTAATATCCAGCCTGCATGTGAGACAGCGACGGGGTATATGAGGACACGGGCATGCTTTTGGCATGGGGAGCTCCTAATGAGATGTCTGCATGCTGCTGGAGCCGCGCGCTGCTCATCAGGCTCCGTCTCTCCACACAAAGGAATGCAACACAAAGGAAACGCGTGAGTCTGCACATCAATAGAAGAGAAACAACACGCTATCGGCTGTTTGCACCTATGAAAAAAGCCCTTCCTTTAGCAGCCACATGCTATCTGCTTAAACAAAGAACGACCACAGTTCCGCTGCAGAATGAGCATCAACATGTCAGCATCCCGGCACAGCGCTAATGAGCAGCTATAAATGCCGAATCCAATTCACAAATGGTGCGGGCTAATTCAATCCTGCTCATCTGTAACCACCAACAGCCCATTACACACGGCTCACATCCTCCAGGACCCTCCGTCGGTCCAGCCGCAGTCTGCTCCCACCGCAGCTCCACAGAACTACCGGAGCCGTGATACCAGCGGGCTCCGGTGTCGGTCCGGCACCACACAACTTCCACCACAGCTGGATGGGAGCTGGTGGACCGGCTGTCCTCCTGAAGTTCCTGCTGGTTCTGTTGGACCGTGGTGGTTCGGCTACCTGATAGAACCGCTCTAACAACTAAGGCCATCCTCACAACAAGACAACAGTTCGTGTTCAGGTTGGAGCTGAACTCAAAGTCAGCAGCCAGCAGGTCAACAAAGTAGAGCCCGGTCCGCTCCAACAACACGGTACCGGTTCAGTGAGACAACACGGTACCGGTTGAGTGGTCCGGTGCCACCAGACGACCGGAAGGAGGATGTGTGAACGTCTACTTTCAGTCTAACCGGAGCAGCAGCGTCCCGAACAACATCCGAGACCAGAACTCAGTTCGCGGCTCACATGAGGTGAAGCCCGGACGGACGGACGGACGGACGGACCGAACCCGCAGCATAGCGAGGACTCGGTAACCGGAAAACTACGACCTGACAAACAGCACACACCACCGGGGATGATGCCAACTTTGTATTTGCTCAAACTGCGGACTGCTCCTCCGGACGGACTCCGGAGCTCTTTGTTGGCCAAGTAGAGCCCAAAAGCCGTGAGCCAAGCTGGCTAAAGGCAGGCCGGTGCTGACCCGGAGCTAATGGCAGGCAGCCCTTTAAAGGCCGGTGTGACTCCCAGCTCCCCGCTCCTTGTTCCCCCAGACAATAAACATTCCTGAGACAGGCAGCAGCAGGCTGGCCGCAGACCCTGCGCCATCTTAGTTAGACACACTCTGCTTCTTCGGGCTTCTTGAACAAAGAGCTCCAGTAACGGAACTCAGCGGACCCCGCCGCGTAACTTTAGAGAAACACGCGGGCAACACAACCCGCGGCTCCACGGCGGACACTTGGGGGCACTTACCGGTGTTTTCTTGTATCCTTGTCCCGAACAGCAGGACGAGCAGAAAGCATGGTATTGCATCCATCGTGGCTACGGACCAGACTGGCACCCGACTGCTAACTTCTCCCCACTCTGAGGAAGGTACACGCTGATTGGCTGACGGCGGAGTACGTCCCGCCCCCCCAGTGCCTGGTCGGCTGAGAGGCGACGCTGATTGGAGGACGGTGCTGCCACACCTCGCCCTACTGGAGCAACTCTAGCCCTCCTGTAAACAAACGTCTGCTATTCACTGTAATTACAAAGTGTGGATTTATAAAGTTGTGTTAATGTCACTAGTTTACTTCGACACTGTACAGCGCCTACACATCCACACTGTGATTAACGCTGTAAAGTCTTAACCTATGTATTTAACTTAAGTAACGCTGACTTCATTTGACTATACCAGAATAATATCAGATGTATTGATGAACTATTAACAGCCAGTTTATGGACAAAACAATCAGCGAACTCTAAGGCGACCACATCATAGGTAACACCGTCAGCTTCCCTGCTGTACTCTGGCATACATGATGGAGTGTGTGCCACAGTGTGGCTCAGGATCAGGAGAGGGTTTGTCAGGCAGACAGAACATGTCACAGTGGCTCCGACTGAAGGAACACACCATCATAACAACAGCAGCAAATAGAAATAACATCCTGCAATGATAAGATATCCTCAATGCCATGCTGTGGCTGCATCCATGTGCCTCGTCCATATGTCAGTCTGTCACACACACACACACACACACACACACACTCTCCAACCCTCATACATTGTTCTAAAGCCTATAACCCTTCCTTTGTCTCATCCCCATATACTCCACCTCTTGAGCAGCTACACACACACACACACACACATACACTTGACCTGCTCTCAATGCTGCTCTCTCTCTCTCTCTCTCTCTCTCACACACACACACACACACTCACACACACTCCCTAGTCCCTGGAGAGTGTGACAGAGATTGATGATGGCCTATTATTTGATGTCCAACTGAGCCCTGCCCTGCACACACACACACACACACACACACACACACGCTCATTCACTTTTACACACACACACACAGAGTGGTGCACTCTCATGCATATTTATCTTCAGACCCTGGAGAATAAGAGTTACCCTGCTGGTCAACCGGACGCCGCGACACATTAATAAATGTTGGGATGCAAAACAAACAAAAATACACAAGATCATATTTAAAATACTATATTAACTTAAACAGATGTTGTTAAATGAAGAGACACCTCTGACACCCCACCCCCCTGACACACACACACACACACACACACACACACAAAGGCACCACCTGCTTTTAGCACTAACCAAATGCTGCTCAAGTTTTCCTGCTTGTATCTGTCTCATTTGCATTTACAATTTTGGCATTTAGTTGATGCATTCATCCAGAGTGGAGTGGAACAAAAAGCTCTGATTTTTAATCACAAAATTACAAGAAACCGGTAGAAGGCAGAGGAAGGTCAGTGACTTTATTGTTATGAACACAGAATGATGTTGTAAAAAAAAAGAAAGAAAAGAAAGAAAAAACTGCAAATGAAAGAAATAAAGAACGAATGAATTTTCAGAGGTAAAAAATATTTTTTGTTTTTCTTTTCCAGGACAAAATCACTGACTTGGGATTCAGTGGAGGACATGAATACACATGAGTCAACATGATGCCTCCTGCCTCTGGTCTGCTGCTGGATGGTCAAAGGTCTCCACCTCTGACAACAACAGGACAGAGCACTGATTAACAAGCTCTGTTTCTTCTTTTCTTTAGCAGTGGAAAGACATGCAGTGAAACTTTGGTCTGTCGGTAACACCAAGGAATAGACCACAAACTCACGACTGACAGCTTTTGCACTCGTGTGATACAAGCCGAAGCCCTGCCCTGCTGTCAGGTGGCCATCAGCTCTATTTAATTCTAGTATGTCCTCATTTCCTTTGGCACGCCCTCTCAGGAGAATCCCTGCTGCCATCTGAAGTGCTCTTCTGTTACTGTGATAACCTGACTAGACGTTCTCAGACCCAGCCTTCAAGTGGCCAAGTGTGTCAACAACAATGCAGCCTTCAGGGCTGAATCCTGCCCCCCACATTTAAACCCCATTCCTCACATGGTTTTTGTGCATAAGAGTTAATATCATTCGAAATGCTGAATGCAAAATATAGTTGAAACCTTAGTCGACTATTGCAGATGCTGAAAAGATATCAGTGGCCCAAGTGAGCCTTCCAGCGACTCATTAACACTGCACTTATACAATCACACTTAGAATAGAATAGAATAGAACTTTATTGATCCCTTTGGTGGAAACCTCAGGGAAATTGCTGAAAAACTTCTGCACCCTAACATGCCAAACAAAGACGACGTCACACCCCTTCACTAAACCGTTAACAGCTCGACTGTCAACCAAGCGCGCTGTGGCGTGTTGCAGCATCTGGAAGACAAAGAGCCACCAGCAAAACAATAACATGTAATGTTATTATATCTCCTGTGTTTCTTATGCACAGGTCCATGGTTTCTTTCAGGAGCAGAGTTCTGGCTAAAGCACAAATCTGCTTCGATAAAGAGCCGTAAAGCTGAGTATGCTACCATGAATAACTGGCTGGTAATGAAGTCCGATTTTTAGAATTATACCACCATCAGAAATAAAAGAAAAACATTTCCAATATTACAAAACATTTTTGAATTATTTCTAATTTATGGGTTTATTTATTCTATTAACTGGTCAAGTGTATTTTCTTTACATTCTATGATCAATATTAGAGTGTCAGCCAGGGACAAAACTCTGGTGAAAACAATGCAGAAGCCCTGTTTTGACAAAACCATATTTAAACATGTTGATTCTTAATAATAGAAGTTATCCATACAGCCCTATATAACTGCAAATGACACATCCGTATTACACACAATTGTAGCTGCTGTCCACACCTGTCTATATGTAAAAGACCAATCTATAAATGAAATACAAGTAAATATTCTGCCCCACTAGTGAACAGCAGTATGAGTGGTGTGGAAAAGTACTCCAGAGATCTCCATGGAATGTCCTGGAAGTGCTCATGATGCTTACAGGATGATTTGAGGGACTCGGTAGAAAGCTTGCCTTGAAACACTCAAATCTATTTTTTAAAAAGTCCATAGTTGTACACAGTCGTCCTATGGTTGTATATTTCATAGTCTACTGTTAGCAGCAGCTCAGAACTGTCACCTACTTAGTGAACGAGCTTAACATCTACCAAACGGCTCGGCACAACATTTGGCATCAACAGTGGGAATCATAAGAGGATAAACCTGAAAGGCTTTGAAGATCATGACCGCTCTGATGGGCTTCACCATGGGGACCACATCTGTAGTTTATGACTGTTTCTACATCTATTTAAATTACCTGAAATGCAATTTAGTGAAAACATTGATATCTCCTTTAGTTTGAGTTAGTATGAGCTCGGTGTTAGCATCATTGCCTCACAGCTAGAAGGTCTCTGGTTGGCTGATCTCCGGGTTCTCCGGCTTCCTCCCACAGTCCAGAAACATGCTGAGGTTAATTGGTGATTGTAAATTGTCCGTAGGTGTGAATGTGAGTGTGCTTGGTTGTCTGTCTCTAAGTGTAGCCCTGTGATTGACTGGTTAACTGTCCAGGTGAACCTGCCTTCACCCTGAGTCAGCTGGGATAGGCTCCGCCCCCCATGACCCTGGTGAGGATTAAGGTGTAGAGATGATGGATGGATGTTACCTTAGGTGGTTCTCTGACTTTATATGTAGTGGCACTCAAAGGCCAAATTGTTTAGCAGTTACTTTGCTTTACGATCAAATCCCTGTAAAACTGGTGCCTGAGCTGCACTCTGTGTTTGGTGCTACGTATTAAATCCTGGTTACTATGGTCGATGTAAACATCAGCTTCTGAGCGCCGTCAGTGTGAGCTGTTTGCATGTTGACCACCTCTTGTATTACCTTTACATTTCTATGCAGCTGACCTCTCTCTGACTCCTCTGTGATGACATGTCACTGCTCATTCGATCAACCACCTCCCTCTCCCCCTGTGTATTTTAAGCTCTTTAAATCTGTTCCTGCTCGGGACCAGGCCTGGAGCTGATGCCATTCATCTTTCACATGCAGTGCATAGTGTATTAGACTCACTACATTCTCGGGCAGGAAAAGCAGACGTATCCGATGAAACATTAACACACACCATGAGATGACTGAGGAATGATGAGAGCTTGAGAAATTCTAAATTAAATTCAGGGGATTTGAAGTCCATCATAACTTTAAAAAGTATTCGAGCTTCGGTAAACAGATCAGACAGAGATGTAGGAAAAGAGAGGAGTGTGGTAGAAACAGTGATTTATTGTAATAAAGATCTCAGTGGAGGCTGACTGATGGCGGGCTTGGTGGTGGACAGCTGGGGAGCAGTGTGGAGTTACCGAGGTAGAGCTGAAGCTGGAGCACAGGGGAACTGAATTATCCACAGAGCAGAAAGGCAGACAGGAGGATCCACACAGGAGAGCACACGTACTCAGGAAAGTAGGAATGTCACAGTCACTGGTGATAGAATACTCACCTGGAGAGAGGACTGCTCCAACTCCAGGATCATCTCAACACACAACACGAACCTGTTCAGCATGTCACGGAGGACGTCACTGATCAGGGCCTGGAAAAATGAGGGGGCATTAGTGAAACCAAATATCTCGACGCGATAGCCAGAGTCTGAGGGGGTGATGAAGGCATCCACTCCTCCAGCACCTTGAGTCTGATGAGATGGTATCATTCCTTAAATCCAGTTTCAGAAGATAAAACACATGAGACTGGCTGCCAGGGATTCACTAATATATTTGTCCATGCTTCAGGTTTAGGTTTGGAGAGGTTGTAGAGCTTACTTGACCAACTTGACCGACCAACCGGTCCAGGCAGATGGCCGTCCTCCCTGAGCCTGGTTCTGTTGGAGGTTTTTCCCTCTCTTTGGGGGGTTTGGTTCCTTCCCACTGTCACCAGCCGCTTGCTCAGAGGAGCTCTGGATTGTTGGTTCTCTGTTTAAATCCATGAGGTCTGTTCCTGACTATGTTCAGCGCTCTGTGGTGACATATGCTGTAAACTGAGCTCTAAATAAAACGG